TTCAACATGGCAAGATTAGCCATTTGGGTAAGAAACTGCTCTTGCCTGGACTGTTTGTTGCTGTATAAACTGGACATACAGGACCCACAAGAAAGTGACTGCTTTACAAAACAAGACAGGACTAAAGGGTTCCTGTTAAAATGGAGAAGTGTGCTAGACACACTATGGCTTATAGGTTGAAGATGGATTCCTCAGCATCACAGAGGAACTTTGGGTGACTGTCCAGGTAGCGAGATGTCTCTGTCAATTCTAGAGTTTATATATAGTATCCTTCTATGGCCTTTGATGGAATTAAAGACAAATAGTTATGGTTATAGTTTTCTTCAGTTATTATAAAACATAAGTTACCCTTTATATTTAGACAGAAAAGAGGAGATGATGGGGGAAATACGTCTGTGCATGTTTATCTTGTTAAATAAAGTACTTGCTTGGCCAATGAGACAGCAAGTTAGGCTGGACTAGGAGTCAAAGAGTATTCTGGGAAATGTAGTAGAGAAGTGGTGTTCCAGGCAGGAAGTGACATAGCAAGGAGACTCATTTTTAAGAAGAGGAAAAAGGAAGTGTCGCTCTCTTTTTCTGTTCCTGCTCCAATGGCAGGATGTGATTCACCAACAAGGAGGGACACCAATTAGGCATCCGATAAGATAAGTCTCATAAAATATATAGATGTATGATAATTGAGACTGAGCTAACAGATGAGAATCCTGGTCATTGACAAAGCAGCTTTGTAACTAATACAAGTCTCTCTGTGTATTCATTTGGGCCTAACTCGGGAGGGCGGCTGGCATAAAGCTCACATGTGGCGGTGGGGCTCAGGCAGCTTTTTGTGGAAATATTTATCATAACACATGGGGGGAGGGGAGAGGGAGGTAGGAGAAAGAGAAGGGGAGAAGAGGAGGGGAGAGGAGTACATGAGGGAGCAGTAAGGTTGAGTAGGGGGAAGAATAGAGGAGAGCAAGAAAATAGATGCCATAATAGAGAGCCATTATAGGTTTAAAGAGAAATCAGGCACTAGGGAAATGTCCAGAGATCTCCAAGTAGATTTTTCTTTGGTTACACTCTATCCATAGTGTTCTACTGCCAATCTCATCTTTGTGTTACTTTTGTTTTTGTATTTTTTCTTTCTTACAAATAAGCAGATGACAAGAGCCCATCAGTTCAGCTAATCCTGATATTACTCTGAATCACTGAACAGCAAGTAGAATGTATAACCAAAGCTATATTGCTTATTTAATTTTTGTGTGACAAAGTTTTACTCTGTAGCCCAGGCTGGCCTATAACTGACTAGTCTACTCTGGCTCATAATTTATGGTACTTCTCCTCCTTAAAGAGCAATGTACAGTTATCACAATAGCTTATAATGAGAAGTATTAATAAATCAATCAAAACCATTTCATAGGTCAGGAAAGAACCTATTTGTGATACAGTAGTTTTTTTGTTTTGTGACAACAGGGTGATTTTGAGTGTTAAAGGGGGATACTATTAAGACATTTTCTGCTGAAGAATGCCTGGGCTATTATCCCCCAAACACCTTTTTTTTCCTGGTATGTATAAGGAGAAATCAGGAAATTCAGTCATAATATTAATGAGATAACCCCATTTCTAAAGTGATGTCAAATTTTAACATTTTTAATCTTTTTTTTTTTTTTTGGTTTTTCGAGACAGGGTTTCTCTGTGTAGCTTTGGAGCCTATCCTGGCACTCGCTCTGGAGACCAGGCTGGCCTCGAACTCACAGAGATCCGCCTGCCTCTGGTCCCCGAGTGCTGGGATTAAAGGTGTGTGCCACCAACGCCCGGCCATATTTAATCTTTTAAAAGCAAAAAAGAAATGAACAAAAATTTTCACCAACTGACTAGATTGCATCATCATCTGAGGATGCTGGAATAGAATTTCTGAGGGTTAACTCACAATTAGGGCACTTGAATACTACCACAGCCTTACATGAGTAATAAAAACCCAGAGGATCACTAACTAAGAAGATGCTCTACTTGCATGGCTACAGCCCAATCTTACTGAATCCCAATTCTTAATTGGGATTTTCTCCTTCCACATGACTGTAGCTTGTGTCAAGTTGACATAAAACTAGTTATCATACTTCCTATAAAATATATTTACTGAAAAGCAATTTTGAATATTGAAATATTTATTATTGAATGGTACAGAGCCATGAAGTCTGGTCTGTTTCAGTTATTCATATGCTTGAGTGAAGCAAAGGTACGGTATGGTTTGGCTGAAGAAAGAAGCAACATGTGGTTATCACTGCTTTAGAGTAGTATTGATCAATTTCTCTCTCTCTCTCTCTCTCTCTCTCTCTCTCTCTCTGTGTGTGTGTGTACATGTGCATGTGTAGTAGAGTGAAAGGGAGCAGATCTAGCTTGTTTGTTCTCTCAAGTAATTTATAGCATGCCCAAAATGTAGAAAAATTTCTGCAAGGTAAGTCTCTACCAATGGTCTTCTGACATCTCTTTTTTGGTTCTTTGTGACTGATATCTATCTTTCTTCTTCACAAAGGAAATGGGGGAAAGAAAAGGAAAGAGAGTTGAAAGCAATAGCCATTCTTCTAGTTATTCTGGACCTCTCCTTTTTAATTAGTGCATATTTATAGTAAAAAATATTAGATTTTATTAGGACATTGTCTTGCCTTTTTACAATGTAGCACAATCATATTAACTTTCTTTTCACACTCCCTTGTCCCCCTTTTCACTCCCACAGTTTTTCCAAGGGAGCCCCTTGATGCATTTCTTCAGCAATGCCCATTTGGTTAAATCTTACTGAGATACCATGCTCCAGGTCTTAGACATGCTTGCATCACTCTGGATCCAGCAGTACTGTCCAATATCACTCACAAGTGCTCCGGCCATCTCAGTTCTTTTAAGAGCCAGCCCACCCTTGTCATAACCCAGAAAACAAACTGTGGTGAAACAAACTAAGACCTTTTGAACAACAACCCGCTTTAGTCAGACATCATGGCTGTGTATCTTTAAATAACTCCCTATTTATTATTTTTAATCTTTGTGACCTTAGTTTCTTTATCAATGAAATATCAAGGGTCTGAGGTATATTGTTTTACAAATCCTTTGGCATCTAAAAATGCATATTTGAGCTACATTCCCACTAACAGCAGGAAATTTATCCTCCTTTCTTAGCAGTGTATCGTGTATCCTAGGACCTTCAACGTAGAACAATTAAAGCTCTGAACAGCGTTAAGAGCATTTAGCTTGAGATCAAGCCAGTCTTTCATTGGGTTGTGTGATTTCTGACAAGCCATCAAGTCAGTAAATTCATTTACCTGTGATAAAACACACTTGAAGTTGTTTTACACCAAGATGAGAAGAAATCTCCTAGTTAGTTTTTTCTATGTTTGCCTTTTACCTTGTCCAAAGAAATCTCCAAAGGAGATTTACAAGTATGATACATCCATTATTCACTGATGGTATGAAATATTTAAAGATGGAAGCTCTGTCCTTCTGCTTTCTAATTGTTTTCTCAGTGTCTTTCTGTGATGCATTTTGGGGGTTTGCATTCAGCTTATGAAGTCTAGTATGACTGTGTTTCCAGTGGATTGATACTTTGCTGTGAGCTGTGGTTGTCTTGGAACTTCACAGTAATCGAATTTGAAGACACTGATGTGCATTCTCAAGTAAGAGCCTGGCTCAGGGGGGTTTCATCTAGGTCAGACCTTATAAATGAAGTGATGATTTTCCCCCTTAAGTCTGTAGATTTATCTGAGGCCCTATGTTGCCTTTTTACTTCTGCAGCTCAGTCAACCTATGAGCCAGTCAGCATCTTATTCACTTTAAAGCTAATGTTTTGTAGTAGTTGGCAACCCATTTATTAAAGGCAGAAGGTGAGAACACAGGATAATTTGAGAACAATTTCTGAGATCACTGAAAAACCAGAAAAATGATCTTTAACTGCACATCTCAGGAATTGTGCAGCAATGTATGTTTTCTAGAATTTCCTTTTATAAAAATTTAACACACAATTTTCCAAAGGTCTTAAGTCAAAAGTAGCCTCAAAATAGCAAAATGTTTCCTTTCACTAGACTTTATTCATCTATCATACTAAATTGCTTATGAAGTAACTATTGTGTGTTATACAAAAGGAATACACACTGTAGTGGTGCACAGACTTGGAATTGCATACAGATATACGTGTATCAGCATTCTAACTTGTAACAATCTAGGTGAAGTATAACACATAAGAGATGTCATCTTTAATTCTGATAATTACTTGTTTTGCACAAAGAATTGGCAAAAACAGACCACATATTGAAAACACACTATAAAATAAATGATAGCTTGTGAGAATTTATTATCTTTATGTATACCTCATACAGTATTAGCAAGATTTTGAGAACTCCAAAAGATAATATAGATGAAAATTGATTCAATAGGTGTTTGTATATGCCAGTCTTTTTTCCATGGTAAAAATGATTCTAAAAATAATTAGATTGACATAATTAAAAGGGGCTTTTAAGACTATCCCCATAGAAACAGCTGACCTGAACAAGGGAGAGCTCTTGGTCCCCAGACTGATAGCTGGGAAACTAGCATTGGACTGATCCAGACCCCATGAATGTGGGTGTCAGTGAGGAGACCTCAGAAATCTATGGAGCCCATTGTAATAGATCAATACTTATCCCTAGCATAGGAAAGGACTTAGGGAGCCCATCCCATATTGAAGGATACTCCCTGAGCCTAGAAACACTGGGGTGGACTTAGGCCAGCCCTATTCCAAAGGATATGACAGTCTCTCTGATGACCCCTATGGAAGTCCTCACCCTCCCTGTGGAACCGAAAGGGTATGGGATAGGTAGGGTGTTAGCTGAGGGGGGCAGGGGAGGAGAGGAGGGAGAGGGAACTGGGATTGACATGTAAAACAATATTGTTTCTAATTCAAATAAAAAATGGAGGGAAAAAACACTATAGGACAGTGTCTGTATTATTAATCCCTGTTTCCTGAAACAAGTACTTGGTAAGAACTTGTAGAAAAGTGTAAACTTGTATGGAATAACAAAGAGTGAAAATGACAAAAGGAGTCATTACAGACACAAAACATCTAGGATGCTGTAGATAGAGATCATGCCTCAAGTGGGATGATGGTTCAGTTGATTTTTATGAAAAAAATGGAAAACCATAAGAGGAATAGAGATCATTTAAGTACAAAGTGAACTTTACTGAGAAACACAGTGATATCCGCCAGACTCCCAATCAATTATTATCCCATAGATAAGCATTTTTGGTGGAATCATAGACACTCGAAGGAAAGTACAGCATGACAGGGGCTCTAGTCTTATCCTGATTTATATTAAAAAAAAATAACTGAGGAAAGATCTGAAAGGACCAGGCCAATGGAAGGAGCTTTCCAAAGAAAGAGAGCTAACTTGAGTCGTGAAGTCCCACATTGGCAACCGTGGACTCAACAGAGCTACATTAACCTACACAGTATAAAGAAGAGTCGTAGTTGTCAACCAGCAAATTAATGGACTGACTGACTGCTCAGTGTCATCATTCCTGTTATTTTTTTTTAATGATTACACTTTATTTATTTTGGTATGTGTGTGGAAAGAGCTCTAGGGTGGAGGTGGGAGAACAGCTAACAGGAGCGGATTCTCTCCTCCTACCAAGTGGGTCCTGGAAAGGGAATTTGGACATCAGATTGGCAGTAAGAACATCTACCTTCTGAACTGCTGACCCCTCCATTCCTGTTTGGAAATGTTGCAAGGTTATTGATGCTGATGGGACCCAGAGTTTTTGGTGTTAAAAAAGAGCCTTAGATTTGTTTCTTAGTTGTTGCTTTGCTATGTGAAGACATTAACTACTGTGAAGAACTGTTATTTGGAGACAGGTTCTACATGAATATAGGTGGGTAGGAGGGAGTTTAGAGTCAGGGATTCATTTTGCAGCCCAGGCTAGGCTTGAACTTGCAACAATCTCCTGCTGAGACTTTCCTGAGTGGTATTTGATTATAGGCTATATACTTCATGACATCTTGATGTTACTTAAAATATTCACTACAATGTAAAGTCTATATAAATAGTTGTTCATCATGGACTTTAATTTGTGTTTGCTTTTCAAGCTGCTAGGATTGAACTCCGAATTTTGTATTTGCTAGACAAGTCCTATATCACTGAGCCACAGCATAATCCAAGTATCCTTTAATGCAGTTTTCAGTCAGTCAAAAATGAGCAAGGAGTCCTTAGGGACGTCCAATAAGGGATTGGAGAAAGTCAGATGAATGTTGAGATAGTTTATAGTAGAATGTTAAAGACTTATATAAAAAAGAAACAGGATAGGGTGGAGAGTTTGCTCCAGTTCTCTGGCTGCATTTCCAGTGTTTGACTTCCATTTCCCACATGACCCACATGGTTGCTCACAACCAAATAAATATAACCCCAGGGGATCTAATTGTGGCTTCTGGCCTCTGTGAGCATTTCACATCAAAATAAATAATAAATAGGATTAAAATCCCTAAACCTAAACAACAACCCCCCCCGACACACACACACATACACAATCAAGGAATCAGTATGATGGCTCAGTAGTTAAATATGCTTCTTCCCACCCTGTAGACCTGAGTTACATCCCTGGGATCTACATAGTGGAAGAAGAAAATTCACTCCTGAAGGTTGTCCTCAGACATACATATATGTGTGACTCCCTAAAAAGTAAACATAAAAAGTATTAATTAAAAAACAAATAATTATTTGTGTTAATATAGAAACAAAGCAGATTGATACTAGCCGCACTGTGTACTGAGATGAATTTTCCTAGGCCTGGGATACCTACAAATGTTAAGAATATGTAGTAGAGTCTTATAGGAGTGGTGGTTAGTATTCTGTGAAAACTGTCTGACTTATGGTTGTACTAGTCTTGAATGAAGTTATGCCATCATTGACGGCTGCACTGATTTGGGGATAATAAAGCATGACACTGACAGGTTACCACTGCAAGATGGACTTGTCTTCATTCCTGAGAGATATATTACCAGGGGAAAACCATGAATATCAGTAAGATTCTGCATTTCTATGGACTGGACTCAGAGCAATCTTGAATATGATTTGTTTCTCTTGTCTGTCTAAAGCCAAGCAAACCCAAATTTCTACTGTCAGGCACTTTTTTTCTCTTAATTACAAGTGGTTATATGAAAGTTAATTTGTGTGGGTTTAATTTATTTACATATATTTACATTTGACTCATTAAAATATTCCTTCCAAGAGTTGTCTGCAACTGTTTGAGCATGTTAAATCTTGTTGAACAAAATGAAAACATTCCTTTTGCCAATTGAGAATAAATTTAGAAAACCCAAACTTTGGGTTTTAACTTAGTAATTTCTGAACAACAAAAACTATTTTATGCTGTCCAACAGTACACAACCATCAAATTGAAACAGAACTCCAAAGTAGACCATCTGTCTTCTCTCATGTTTGAGCCATCTTGTCTGTGCCCAAAGCAGATTTTGGGTAATTACTAAATTCAAGGTGAAAACTCCAGTACTTCAAAATCACACAGGTAAGATCAAACGTGAGCACTGGATTTCAGCTTCATGCTTGTGACAGTTTAGTCACTTACACACCTGCTTTTTTCTAGCTCTAATATTTACTTATGTATTTGTTTGCTTGTTTGGACCAAATTTTACTTAGTAGCCCAGGCTGGCCTCAACCGGTCTTGCTCTATCAACCTCCCAATTACTGACTTTACAGGAATAAGTCACCACATCTGTCTTTATCTCTGTCATTGAAGTGGTAACCCCATTTCTCTCTGTCTACACTTGTAGTTTTATGTTCACATTTTTTAAATTTTAAAATAGATTTTTTTCTCACACTACACATCCTGACAAGTTTCCCCTCCCTCCACTCTTCCTACTCCCCTACATTCACCTCCCCTCTCCCAAAGATCCATTTACGGTTCCTTTCCCTTCAGAAATGAGCAGGCCTCTAAGAGATAACACCCACACAAGACAAAACAGGATACAATAAGACAAGGGAAAAGTCCTCATATCAAGGCTGGACAAGTCAACTGAGAGGAAAAGAATCCCAAGAACAGGCAAAAGTGTCAGAGACACGCCTGCTCCCCTGTAGAGTCCCACAGAAACACCAAGCTAACAGCAATAACATATACATGGAGGACCTGGAGCAAACCTGTGCAGGCCCTGTGCTTGCTGCTTCAGTTTCTGTGAGCCCATTTGAGCCCCGCTTAAGTGATTTGGTGGGTCATGTTCTCCTGGTGTCCTCCATCTGACTCCTACAATCTTTCCTCTCCCTTTTCTAGGTTTTCTGAGCTCATTTGAGATAGCATCTCATTATCTAAGACTGGCCAGAAGCTGTGCATAGTGAGAATGGCTTTGACATTTCCAGTGCTGACCTCTGGAGTGTTGATATTTTAGGTGTGTTCCTGTATACCCAGTTTATAGGGTGCTGGGGTTTGACACTAAAGTTTTCTTTTTCATGCAAGGCAAGCACTTTACCAAGTGAAGTACATTCCCAGTCATAAATACCTACATTTTACAGGTCACGGTAGTTACCTTAATCTTTCCCAAATTGTATTAATTGTTATTCTTATTCTTAAATATATGGGCAAATGAAAATTTTAAAGTAATGTCCATTTAAACACCAATCATTGCTCCAACTCTTTTGCAATTTTTTGTCCTTTCTGTTACGCACAAAGGCAGATAACATGCTTTGAATCACTAATTATTACTGGGAACACAGCTAAGTAGCACTATATGCATCATCTCACTCAGTCATATGGTTGCCATTGGTGGCATATATAATACTTTTACATTTACTTATTGTGTGTGTTTGCATGTTTGTGTGTGTGCACATATGTTTTGGCTCATGTGTGAAGGTCAAAGGACAGCTAGCAGGAGTAAGTTCTCTCCTCCTACAATATGGGTTCCAGGGAATAAACTCAAATTGTTAGGCTTGGCGGTTGAACCATCTCACCCACCCCAGTGATGAGCATAAGTATATCTATTGAACAGATAAAAGGAGAGTTAGAAATCCATGAACTCTCAGGTCTGTCTACCTGCAGCTGGAGCTCATTTTCACACTATTTTTAAGAAGATAAATTAATTAGCAAACTATAAGGTAGAAACTTAGATATTTTAGATTGCTGGAAGGCTGTTTCTGTTTGTTATCTTCCAGAAAAGCTATGGCTTAAACAAACAAAAGAAAAAAAAAGTGCTAGTGAGTTCCCAGTGAAATACATAGAAATGATTGCTCAGATAAAGAACAGAGACTGTCAGTCCACAAAGCCAAGTACTTTATGCAGAAAGATAGTGTTTCAATTGCTTTTAAGAAGATGCCTTCATGTGGAATCTATTGACATCAGCTGATTGTAAACTACATCCAAATAGAATTGCACTGACCGAATTAAATTAATCTTTTCCATTCTGGTCACTTGATAATGGGCAGTAAAATCAAAACAATTAAAGTAAGCTTGCTTCCTTCATGCAAGCATCCCTCTGGTTCACTGAAGAGTAAACACAAAGATCTGAGGAAGAGTCAGTAATGTTGAATTCATTATCTGCCTGGTTACCCGAAACTCGACTGAGCAGCAAGACAATTGTTGTCACCCACACTGTTGACTTCTGGATCAATCGTGGTTTAGGCTGCTGAGTTAGATCTTCAAAAACAGAATGTGAAATAGGCCCTAGGGAGTGAGAAGATATGCTGTCACTTTCCACTAGCATAAAGGATAGAGTGTTAGGCGACACTGTTCTTAAGAGACTCAGATAATGCAGCTGCCCAAAGGGCTTCAGGCTTTGAAGCCGAAGTCACTTTCTTCTCAGTAATGATATTTATTGAAATAAATTCACAATCCCAAGTGCAAGAAATATCTGCAATCTGTGCTTCTGTTGATCTTCCTTTGATTTCGTGTGAGTGGCCATTGTTCTTTGAATCTGATGCATGGTATTGGGGAGGGAAAACAAATTACCTGTGAATCTGAGCCTGTGACTAGAACACAGTAAAATTGCTGATTGACTTGCAAGTTCATTTCCTGATAAAGCAAACAAATACATGGTTGTTATCACTCATCAGGGATATTGAAAAGTTTTATAACATATTTTATTTTGCTTTAAAAATATAATTTTGATTGAGATAGAATTAAATTTCTTTCTCTTTGTCTTCCCTCTACTAGACCTTTCCATGTTTCCTCTTTTCAAACCTTCCACACCCCCTCAAGTTGATAGCCACTTTTCCTTTTATTATTCCTACACACACACACACACACACACACACACACAGAGAGAGAGAGAGAGAGAGAGAGAGAGAGAGAGAGAGAGATGCTGTCTGCTTAGTTCATTTTTGTTTGTATGTATATGGTTTCAGGGATGATTGTTCACTGAGCTCTAGACAGCCAATAAGGGGGCTTATCTTTGGGAGTGGCAGTAACTAATTCTCTTTTCGGGATTCATTAGTTACCTGTTGTTCTTTGTTTAAGAATGGGATTCCAAGTAATTTCCCCACTCCATATTAGCATATCCACTGACATTGTTATTGTTCTTTTCTTGTTTATGCATGCATTTCTAGGAGAGATTGTTTCACAAAAGACTTCCTGGTATTCTAGCTCTTACAATCTTCCTTGATGCTGCCTGAGCAATAGGTACAGATGCATGATGTGTATGTATATGTGTATGTGTATGTGTATGTGTATGTGTATGTGTATGTGTATGTGCATGTGCATGTGTCCACTTGGGCTTGTTCTCATGGAAAGGAACATTCACTTTACCAATAAGTAGGAAATACAAATTTCAATAAAAGTTAAAAAAAAGAGAATTTCTTAAGAAACTAAGACCTTTGCTTATTTTGACTTAACAACTTACACCACTAATTAAGAAGAGTTAAAATTTACATGAGTACAAATTATTTGTAACAACAACAAAAATAATAATAACTTATGTGTGTCAATGCACCAACCACACTACTTGTCACCAGCAACTTTGAATTCCATCAAAGACCAGATAGACATACAAAGAATCATTACCAACAACCTAATCCAAGAAGCTTAGAACCACTCAAGAAAACACAAACATGAATAACCAAGAAGTGTGCCTTCTTTAGAAATTAGCACTTCTATAGTAATGTTTTCTGAGGAAAACAACTTAACTAATGTATGAAACCATAAAAATAGCAATTGCAAATATATTCAAGGAACTCAAAGAGGATATGAATGAATCTTGAATGAGAACCATAGAAACAAAGCAAACAGTTGAAAATAATGAAAACAATTCAAGATATTAAAATATATTTATTAAAGAGATAGTCTCCATGAAGAAAACCCAAAATGAAATAAAACTTGAAATGAAAAATTCAGAAAATTAAGCATAAAGATAAGAAGAAAGTACCATCAACAGATTAGATCTGACAGAAGAGAGATTAGATCTTGAAGTAAACCTGGAATGCTATTAAAAAAAAAAACTTTGAATAATGGGTATACAAGAAAGAGAAGAAACCAAGGTAACAAGTACCCAAAATATTTGCAACAAAATCCTAGATGAAAACTTCTCAAATCAAGAAATAAAATATGTGTAAAGATATAAGAGCCATACAGAATACTAAATAGACAGGACTAGAAAAGAAACCATATCCCATAATAACCAAAACACTAAATGTGCAGAACAAAGGAAAGTGACAAGAGAGAAAGACCAAGTCACATATAAAGAAATGCAAGCCTAACAGAGTAACACCTGATTTTACAATGGAATCTTTGCAATCCAGAAGGGCCTGAACTAATGTTCAACAAATTCTAAAAGATCACACACAGATGGTAATCCAAGATACCCTACCCAACAAAGCTATCAGTCATAATCTAAGGAGAAAGAAAAATTTCCATTATAAACACAGATTTAAGAATTTATGCCTACAAAGATCACTCTACAGAGGATACTAGAAGCAATGGCTCACTCTGAGTAGAAGATTAAATAGTTTAATGTCAACTTAATACAAGCTAGAATTATCTGAGAACGGAATCCTCAACCGAGAAAAGGCCTCCATAAGATTGGGCTGTAGACAAGTATTTTCTTAATTAGTGATTGATGTGGTATGGCTGAGTTCACTGTGGATGGAACCACTGCTGGGCTGTTGGTCCTGGGTTCTATAAGAAAGCAGGCTGAGCAAGTCAGAGGGAAGAAGCCAGTAAGCAGAATTCCTCCATGGATTTTATATCAGCTCCTGCCTCTAGGTTCCTGCCCTGTATGAGTTCCTGTCCTGACTTACTTTGATGATGAATTGTGATGTAGAAGCATAAACCAAATAAGCTTTTCTTCCCCAAGTTTGGTCATGCTGTTTCACCACAGCAGAAGTAACCCTGATTAAGACAAGAGGGTATAAGGAGTTTATAATCTCAGAAGATCTAATTTAAGTAGGTTTAATAAAACAACCACACAGCAACAAAGTAACAGAAATTTATAAACATTATTTAATAATAACTCAACATTAAATTCATAAATAAAAAGATTGGATTAGAGAACAGGATAAATTTTATTTGCCTCCTCTAACAAAGACATC